TGAGCCTGGGGCCTCTCGGACAGGGGCCGAGGTGGCATGGGCTGGATGTTGCCGTCCCCGCGGTCCCCATCCCTCACTGGGGCTGCCCGCAGCCACTGCCCCGAGCATGTTTGTCTGTCACCAGAACTGCCTCTCGATCTCCAGTGGGTTCCTGGCACAGCCTGCATGCATGGGGTCAGGTTCTGGGCCACTCAGCACCAGCCTGACCACCCTGTGGGGACCGTGGTGGTCACGGGGCTATGGAGGATGGAGGGCACAGCTTGCCCTTGGTCAGAAGCTGAACTATGGGGCGGGGTGGGGCTGGGGTGTCTGGGCTCCAGGACCAGAGAAGGGCTTTCTGATTGTGCCGAAGCACCAAGTGGGTGTTTGCGGAGGCTCCCAGACCACACCATCTGTCCATCCCCAGCTGTTGGAGGTGGATAACTGGGATTGTGTGGGTGGGCCCCCCGCCGCTTGCTCAAGTCACCTTGGAGATGTGGAAGCCAGGCAGCTATGCTCCAGGCTGATTGGGGATCTCTTCTCAAAGGACATGTAGCAGGCAGCGCTGTGGTTAGATGTGGAGAGGGACTTCCTTGTCCTGGAGGGAGGGCAGAGCCCCCTCTCTGGGAGCTGCTGAGGTCCTCACAGCTGGTCCTTGGGGTGAGGCTGGGGAATGAGGAACTGCTTGCAATGTGGTTTTCTCTGGAGGCTGCCCCTCCCCGGGGCTGACGGGCCCCCATGCCATACGGTACAGCACAGCTTCCTTTGGTGTGGCAGTGGGCTCCATCCAGGCTGTCTGGTGCGGCCGGAGCCCCAGCCACATGTGGCTGCTGGACGCTGGGAGTGTGGCTGGGGAGAACTAGAAACCGACTCTTAAATTTTACTCAATTTGTGATTTCAGTTGAGCCACATATGGCGGGTGGCATCCGTTTGGGACCAGGCCTCTGTAGAGGAGGCCAGGACTGGGTGGCTGGTTCACCAGGAAGGGAGGTGACCATGTCCTCCAGGGGAGGTCTGTGGGTTTTCTTCAGGGGCCCCCGTCTGCTGGATATCGATGCAACAATGTGTGTGTCTTTCTGTCATTTGCCTGTGTGACATGTATGTGTCTGTTGTGTGTCTACGTGTGTGACTCTGTGTGTGTCCGTCATGTCTGCCTGTGTGACCCTGTGTGTGCACCAGTTTGTCTGCCTGTGACTGTGCGTGTGTCTGTCATATGTCTGCCTGGATGACCATGTGTGTGTGTCTGCCTGCCTGTGTGATGGACTGTGTGTGTGTCTGTCATATGTCTGCCTGCATGACCATGTGTGTGTCTGCCTGCCTGCGTGACTGACTGTGTGTCTGCCTGTGTGACCATCTGTGTGTCTGGCTGGCTGGCTGTGTGACTTATGTGCCTGTGTATATATGTGTGTGTGTCTGTCTCGGTGTATCTACCTATACGACTCTCTGTCTGCCTATGTGACTGTGAATCTGTGTGTCTGTCTGCCTGTGTATCTGTCTGTGTGACTGTGTCTGTGTGAGTGTGTCTGTCTACTTGTGTGACTGTGTCCATGTGACTGTGTGTGTGTCTGACTGCATGTGTGTATGTGACTGTGTGTCTGTGTGACTGCATGTGTGTCTGTGACTTGTGTGTGCCTGTGCATATCTGACTGTATGTGTGTGTGCCTGCCTGTATGTGCATGTCTGTGTGACTGTATCTGACTGTATAGGTGTGTCTGTGTGACTGCATTTGTGTGTGCCTGTGTGACTTGTGTGTACACCTGTGTGACTTGGGTGTGCGTCTGTGTGCACCTGTGTGACTTGTGTGTGCCTCTGTGTGTGTGTGTGCCTGTGTGCATCTGACTGTGCGTGTGTGCCTCTATGTACATGTCTGTGTGGCTGTGTGTATCTGACTACGTGTGTGTGTCTGTGTGACTGCATGTGTGTGTGCCTGTGTGAAGTGTGTGTATGTGTGCGTGTGCCTGTGTGTCTGCCTGCATGTGAGTGGGCAGGGGCGGGGCGGCGGGTGCCAGGTTCAGGAGCATCTTCTGCAGTGCTCCCCCGCGCTCTCCCAGGAGCAGAAGTTCTGCCAGCGCTATGACCAGCTCATGGAGGCCTGGGAGAAGAAGGTGGAGCGCATCGAGAACAACCCCCGGCGGCGGGCCAAGGAGAGCAAGGTGCGCGAGTACTACGAGAAGCAGTTCCCGGAGATTCGCAAGCAGCGAGAGCTGCAGGAGCGCATGCAGAGGTGAGCGGGGCCCGAGCCCAGCGCCCCCCATGTCAGGGCCCGGGGTCAGCTCCAGGCATCCTCAGCAGAGGTGACCCGGCCAGGAAGGAATAGAACAGCGCAGCAGCTTCTCAGGCCAGTAGCCGGGGCCCTACCAGACCCTGGCATGTGTCCCGTGGAGCCTCTTTGGCCTGACACTTACTTGGAGCTTAAATACGTTTTGGGGGCAAGCACTCCTATTTCTGTGGCCTGCACGACCCCTGAAGGCAGTTGAGTTTGAGATCCCCGGTGTGGGACAAAGGGGAGAGATGTGGCTAAGAGACCAGGCTGCCAGCCTCCCCCAGTGGCTGTGAGGACTTGGTGGACCCTGTGTGAGAGGTACCTGGTGACAAGCAGCTGTGGTTCTATGGCCATTTTTTTTTGGATGCACAGACAAGACGATTCATTGGTGATAATAACAACAGCTTTCACCCTTAACTGAACTCATAAGCCTTGTCTCATTAAGTTCCTCCCAACAGGTCTAGACAGCCGGGTGCCACTTTTGAATCCTCATGTGACAGGGGAGGAAACTGAGGCACAGAGAGAAACACTTTGCCCCAGGGCCAAAGAGGGAGAGCGGGGCTTTGAACCCAGATCTTTGTGGCTGGGCTTTTCAGGGTGTTTTAGGAGAGAGGAAGCGAGTGAGCTGCCCGTGTCACAGGGTTTGGCCATGCTGGGTTGGGGTGGGGGCTCCACGCCTCCCCAGGACTCCTGGTGTGGGGCCAGCCCCTCTGCTGCCTGCTGCCCACACTTCTTCTCTGGGGAGGGCGTGGGCTCAGGGCTGCGCCACAGGGGCCTGCTAGTGTCCCCGACCACCAAAAGGCTGGTCCTGAGTGTGTCCCCTTGGTCCCCAGCAGGGTGGGCCAGCGGGGCAGTGGGCTGTCCATGTCAGCCGCCCGCAGCGAGCACGAGGTGTCGGAGATCATCGACGGCCTCTCAGAGCAGGAGGTGAGTGCAGGCCCTGACTCCGGCCTCAGCTCCTTTTCCCTGGCATCCCCCGTGAGGGTGCAGAGGCCCTAGCCAGAAACCGCCTCCCGGGTGGTTTATATCAAGGGGCTTGCCACGGCAGAATCAACGTGGGCACCGAGGTACCCGGGAGTAGAAGCCTCAGGAAGCCACGGCCCGTCCCAGGCCTGCAGGGGTGAGCGGAGAGAGGGGTGTTAATGTGTCCGAGATGGGGTGTGGCAGGACCCCCTGCAGGGAGGGCCCCAGCGCTCCCCGATCCAGATGCCACAGCACGGAGGGAGTTGGGGGACGAGGACCCTGCCTCTCACTCTTACCATCTCCTGCCTCCTTTTGGAACTTCCCATTGGCTGAGTCCAACCAGAAACCCAAGTGGCAGGAGTACCTGTGGATTCCAGGGTCAGCCTTCCGGGGGCCAGAGCTTGGCGGGGTGGGGGGAGCATGGTGCAGACCGGTAAGTTCCCAGCACGCCGTCTGTCCACACAGCCACGACCTTCTCACAGGAATCTCAGCCCTCCTGGCTGGAGCAGGGCTGGTTTCCCCTCAGGCCTCTTTGGGGTACCAGGACACCCTGGGGTCAGCCGAGGTGACCCTGGTTGCCGTCATGGGGGCCCACAGATGGCCAGGAAGCAGAGGGGCAGCCTTTTCTCCTGGGGAGGAAGTTGGCAGCAGCCTGTCCCTCCTGGGTCCTGTGGGTCAGGTATCCATGATGACACTACCCCTTGCTCCCAATACCACGGCAGACATGAAGCAGCCACGGCACGTTTCTTCCTTCTGGGGACTTTTGTCTGGGGAGAGCTTTTGTCCAGATGGGAGATTATAGCCCTTCAGCTCAGCGCAGCAGAGCCACGCATGGCTATTGAAATCAAAATTAATTAAAATGGGATAAAATTAGCAATTCAGTTCCTCGGTTGCATCTGACACATCTCAAGAGCTCGACAGCCGCTTGTGGTTGGCGGCTCCCCTCCTGGGCGGGGCAGACAGCGAACACCTCCCTGGCTGCAGAGCGCTCTGTTGGACAACAGAACGTGCTGCCCTGAGATGCTGATGCTCAGATTAGACAGATGGAAGGGGCCCCAGGGAGGGGGCGGCTGGTTTAAGTTGCAGTTTCTCACCAGAGATTCTAATTCAGCTGGTCTGGGGCAGAGCCCAGGAATCCGAATTTTTACCCAGCCACCCACATGATTCTGAAACAGGCAATCCAAAGATGAATCTGGCCATTAAAACATAATTTTTAATTTTAAAACTTCTTGTGGTACGTTTTTGTTTACAACAACATCCAGTTGACAGAAAACAGAGCTCAGAAAGCCATCCCATTGCACAGTCACAGGGCCTGGCCCTCGAAGGCTGGGCACCGGAGCTGGGCCGTTTTAGCCCCCGTCTCACCGGCGCTCTGCACTTGTGGACATCCCGCAGAGAGGCTGGACGTGGGTTTAGTCTGCACTGGAAGGAGGAGGCCGGTGGCCCTCTCCTCTGCATTCCTTACCTGATGGCCAAGGATGTGGCGCCTGGGCTGATTGTTGCATGTACACACACACACACTGGCCACATGGGAATGCAGTCACCAGAGTCCTCAGGGACATCAAGGATGCTGTGTCCAGGGTGAAGGGTGGAAGTGGAATTTGGGACAGAAACTTCCCCAGCCAGCTTGGGGTGACCTGAGGTTCCCCGGGAGTGTGCAAGGGAAGGGTCTGGGCCGGAGGACAGGCACTTCCCATCCTTCTGGGAGCTTCCTGCGGTCAGAGCACATGGCCGGCATGGGAAGGACAGGAAGGCAGCTGTCGGAGGGCGGAGCAGAGGTCCTGCCAGGGAGGACTCTGCTGGGGGTCTGCTGTTATTACATCCCTGAGACATCCGAGGAAGGTCAGCGTTCTGTATTGGGGTGTGGGGTACAGCTCCAAAGTTCTGGGAGACAGACACCGGCCTCTTGTGGGAACCCTGTCCCACCCCGGGGTCAGAGCTGTGCCTCGCACCCAGCCCCTGGCTGGGAGTCCTGCACCTCGAGTGAAGAGGTTGGATGTGGGCCGCCGGGCAGCTGGATCGTTTGAACTGGCTGACCTTGGCTACGCGGAGCCCTCCCTTGCCTCCGGAGATGGGTAATTAATCGCCAGTAATTGGCTGGCTGCGAGATTTGGGGAAGTGAGCCCAGCTGAGTGGCGGCTCAGAGCCTCTTAATAGTCATCCCAGTGCATTAGAGGAGCGGCCGCCTGACTGCTGCCGCATGCAGGGCTGGGTAGGCCAGATCCCAGGTGGGCCCTTTGAAGGAGCGGGATGCTGGGAGGGGGCGTGGGGTGTGGGGGAAGGAAAGGCTTCTCTCCACCAGCGAGGCGGCCGACCCTCTCTGCGCCCCTGGGCTGCCCGCATGCCGTGGGGCCAGCTGGACCCCAGGGCCCACTCTTGCCTGCCGAACCTGGAAGGCCGTCCTGTCTCCCGGGCTCCCTGGGCCCAGCTGGGCTGAGCATCCTTCCCGCAGTGCTTTATGGCGCTTGCGTTTCCAAAGGGAAGATTCATGGCTCCCCTCCCACTGCAGAGAAGGCAGCTGCTGCTCTCTGCATTGAATCTACAGTCCTGCCCACCATAAACCTGTCGGGGAGGCCTTTACATTCTCCCTTCCCCCAGCATGAGCTCTTATTATTTTTAAACTCATCATTCTCCTTCTCGTCGGTTTTGCATTTTCCCTACCCGGGCACAGAACATCGGTCCCCTCTGTGCCTTCCCTGGGTCCCCTGCACTGGCCGGAGCACCTCGCCCCCGGGCGCTCTGACCCTGCCCTCCGTTTCCCTGCAGAACCTGGAGAAGCAGATGCGCCAGCTGGCCGTGATCCCGCCCATGCTGTACGACGCCGACCAGCAGCGCATCAAGTTCATCAACATGAACGGGCTCATGGCCGACCCCATGAAGGTGTACAAAGACCGCCAGGTCATGAACATGTGGAGCGAGCAGGAGAAGGAGACCTTCCGGGAGAAGTGAGTCCTCCATCACCTGGCCTGGCCTCCCGTCCCCCTCCCCGTCCCAGAAACCCATCCTGTTGAGGCCTGCGCTGTCTCTGGGGCAGCCACCACAAATGAACACGCCAGGGGGTGCTTAAAGCCGCAGGGATTTACTCTCTCCTGGTTCTGGAGGCCGGAAGTCCAAATCCTGGTGTCGGTGGGTTTGGTTCTTTCTGGGGGCCATAAGGGAGAGCCTGTCCCAGCCTCTCCCCAGCTTCTGGTGCTGCCAGCATCCGTGGCCTTCCAGGGCTTCTAGATGCATCCCTCCACGCTCTGCCTCCGACCCCACATGACCTTTGTCTCTGTGCTTCTCCTCTTCTTAGAAGGACACCAGTCACACTGAATTTAGGGTCTAGCCTAACCCGATACAACCTTACTTTAATTACATCTGCAAAGACCCTGTTTCCAAATAAGGCCACGTTCTGAGGTTCTGGGTGGCCATGAATTTTCCGAGGACACACTTCAACCTGGTACAAAGCTTAAGGGCAGCTGTATGTAAGACAGGGCGCCGTGAGTCGGAAGAACAAGGCAGGAAGGACTTAGAGGCTGGGCCTGAGCCTTGGGCAGGGACGCGGCTGGCCAGTGGCTTTTTGGTGGTTTCTATTTTGTTTTCTCTTTGACAGTAGCTGCTGGCTGAGTGGGTTCATGATCCCATCACTGTGCCTGTGTCTTGTCGGCTTCATGCATTTCCCCCTCCTGTCCCTTATGACAGCTCAGCCAGGCCCACCCCAGTACACAGGTGATGACACGGAGGCTCATAGAGGTTGAGACAGTGTACAAAGGCCACACAGCATGCACACTGCGGAGGCAGGGTTCAGACTCCCCCAGCCGGAATGGAGAGGCTGTGTGGGGAAGGGTTTGCGAATGGGGCCAGGGAGTAGGGCTGTGCAGAGCAGAGGCGGGAGTTGAGTTCTCTCGAAAGCTGTGTCTGAGGGGGCCAAACACCACAGTGAGGATCTGTGATGTGACATCCAGGCAGAAGGAGGCCTCCGTTCCTGGCCCAGGGTCCCCAGAGGAGATGGTGGGCCCTGCTGAACCACCCCACACCTTGGGAACAGTGTGCTATAATTCCGGGGAGTCTAATCTTTTGGCTTCCCCGGGCCACACTGGAAAAAGAAATGTCTTGTGCCACACAGAAAACACGCTAACATTAATGATAGCTGATGAGCTAAACAAAATCACAAAAAAACTCATAAGGTTTTAAGAAAGTGTACGAATGTGTATTGGGCCGCGTTTAAAGCCATCCTGGGCCGCATGTGGCCTGCGGGGTGCACAAGCCTGCTATAATCACTTGCCCGTAAAGCGCTGGGTTCCCTGCCCAGGACATAGAGCACCTCCTCAGGACCTCAGACCCCTGGGAGGCAGGAGAGTGGGAAACTGAGGTGTGGACGGAGGTCTCAGTGCTTGGCCAGGAGGGGACGCAGGGAAGAGACTTTACTCTGTCACTGCCCGACGTTCACCCAGCAGGCCACTGAGCTGACTTGGGGAAGACCCTGCCTCCAGACAAGAGCTTCCTCCAAAGCAATGACACTCCTTCCCCAGTGCCCTGGGCTTTGGTTCACGGTTGTGGACTCAAAAGAGGTGCCAGGCAGGACCTGAGGGATGGGGTGACTCTGGGTTCCCAGCAGGGGCGGGCGGACTAGCATGTGCAGATACCGAACTCGGAAAGGACAAGGACACAGTGGCTATCCAGGAGGGTCTTTGGTGGAAATCATTTTTTAAGAGTAGCTTTTGATTACGGAAATGTTGAAACGTCCATAAAAATAGAGGGGTGGGGTAATGAGCCGTTGGGTGCCCACGGCGCAGGATCAGTGGTCCTCCGCAGGAGACAGCCTTGGTCCCTGAGCAGGAATACTCGGTTACTTAGTGGCTCGTGCCTGCAGCCTCACCATAGCAGACACAATCTTTCTACATCAAATTGAAGTCTCCGTCGCATGCTTTTTACAGTTTTGAACGAGGGAGGTGATGGTGGGACAGTCACAGGTGTTAAGAATTACTGAATTACTGTTGCGTTCGATATTCAAATTCCTTCTGGTAGGCATGATGTTTTAGTGTATGTATTTTTTCTGAAATACAAAAACTGGTGTTCTGGGGTGCTTTCTGTGGCTCCAGCCTTTCGGAAGATCTCATGTGGCTCTGCAGGTCTGATAATTTCACCCTCTGTTAATTCAGTAGCCGAAGGGCGGGGGACGCAGGCTGGGCTGCTCTCTGCTGGCCTGGTTGAGCCACAGCTTGCCCGCCTGCATCCCTCCAGGACTGTGGGCTCGGTTTGAGGTCTCATGTGCGGAGGAATTGATAGCACTCAGGGCTTTGAAAATCACCTACTGACAGCATGGGGCTACCATGTGCTGGCCATGTGACCATTCCCCCTCTGAACCTCGATTTCCTTATCTGTAAAATGGGTAGAGTGACAGGGCCTTCCTTAGTCAGCTGTTGTGAGGTGTGCAGGGCATAGGAAACTTCTAATAAACGTCTTCAGGGGGTGCAAGTGAGGTCGGGGGGAGGGGAACAGGTGACCTAGGAGATTCCCAAGTTGGATTCCTGGTCTCTTGGGAGCCCCCACTGTGCCTGGGGAAACCCCGTGGGAGGGGTTTGCAAGGAACGAAATGTCACTGGGACAAGGAGGGGGAGCAGAGCGGGAAGGACTCTCCCTACCTGGAAGAGAAGGGCTTTAGGGTGGCTCCGGCCTTGCCAGCCGCCCGAGGTGGGATCCCAGGCCAGGGAAGCCTGCCATTCCTCCCCGCGCTGCTTCCACTGGGAGGAGAGAGAGACTGTTCAGGATCCTTGGGTGTCTGGCTGGGAAGCAGGCGCGGGGCCTGCTAGCCTCCTGCCCAGCCATCTGGAGGGCCAGGCAGGTCGGGCACCGGTGCTCACTCAGCCTCCCTCCGTGGGAGCCCACAGTCCAGCCTCGCTGGCGGCCACTGCTTTCCCCGCGAAGGCTGTGCGGCTGTGGCACGTCGCCGGGACGCCTGGGCCTGGGGCCATGGATTCCACCCAGCACCCCTGGGGTGGAGCAGGCCTTGACCCACATCCCTGCCCCCACCATGCTCCCGCTCCTTTGGCCCTCGCATTTCAGCCTGGCCCAGTGGTTTCCCAGTAATTCTCCTGGCTACGCAGGAAGCCAGTTGGGACAGTGCCAGCGCCCCGCCACCAGCCTCTGACTTAAGTCCATGCTTGCTGCCTCCTTGGTTGGCCAACCCCCTCCCGCTGCCCCATGGGCACTCGGAGCCTCTGCTCCCAGCTCTCCTCTCCTGGGGAGGCCCAGCAGCCTGGTGAGCCGTGACCCCGCTGGCGGGTCCCTGCCATGTTCCCAAGCAGACCCTGTGTGGGCCGGGTGAGGCCATGCTTCCCAGATCCAGCTGGAGAGAGAAACAAAAGCGGATTTTAAAGGGGGGGGAACCCCACCAAAGAGCTGCATGTCATGTCCTCATTTTTCCTGGAAGCCGCCTCCAGCAGGACAAACAAATATATTTTCAAAGGCGCTAAAGCCAGTGACTCACTCCAAGGAACGCCCTCTCTTACCCCTGGGTCCCCACCCCTCCCGTCTGCCGCAGCAGCCCTTCCCACACCCCCCTGGGCTTAATTGCTCCGAGTGGGGCGGTGCCCGCCAGGCCGGGCCAGTGGGGATGGCAGGCGCCTGGGAGCCGATCGGCCGCCCTGCAGGGAAGCCCTCCTCGGCCAGGTCTCACGCCCACCCTTCTCGTCCCACAGGTTCATGCAGCATCCCAAGAACTTTGGCCTGATCGCATCATTCCTGGAGAGGAAGGTGAGTCGCTGCCTGCCCTATTCCCCTTCGGTCTCCACCTCCGTGGGCAACTGCGTGGACTCAGGGTGGAGGCCCTCCCTCCCTGCCTACGAGGCCCTAGCCTGTTTGGCCCCTTCCTCCGGGGGCCATGCTCCCCTCCTCCCTCCTTCCCTCCCTCTCTTCCTTCCATCTGGGAGATAGATCAGTGCAGGCCCCGCCCTGGCCTCTTGGGCCCTTGGAGGAGGAGCCTCAGGTTGCTGAGCACCTGGGAACCCTGGGAACCCCGGGGAGAACTGCACGGCCAGGCTTCCCAGAGCCCCCGTGCCCGACCGGGTCTCCTGCCAGCTCCTCAAAGGCCGTGTGGAGCGTCCTTGCATACTGGGGATGGATTCTGGAAGCACTGCCATGCCTGGCATCCCAGTGAAGTCTTCATAGGCAGGAGTGGCGCGCCTCAGAGGGACTGGAGGACCAGCTTTTCTAGGTCCTTCTGAGGGTCACTGACTGCTTTCTGACACCCCTAATGCCAAGCCAGATGTGTGACCTACAAGTCCCCATCTTCTTTGGACAAACCTTTGTGTGGAACTGAGGCCTAAAGCCCACTTTGTGTCAAGCCCAGGCCTGGAGCAGCTCCAGTTGGCTGGTAGACACAGTGTCCCCAGAGAATGGTAAAGCCGTTGTTTTGCACCCACAAGGCTGGTTGGACTGTGCCTGGAGAGGCTGCAGGTGGGAGAAGTTGGCTGGATGAGGCTGTGTGTTGGACGTGGCCCCTGGGTCTTCCCCCAGCATCCTGGGGGTCAGAGGAGAAAGGCTGCCATCCGTGTGTCTTAAGCAGCATTTCCCTGAATCCCGTTTCTCAGAGATGGGGGCCTGCCCACCGCAGCTTGGTGGACACCCTGCTTGGGCTTCCTGGTTGTAGGAGGGAGGCCAGGAGGATGAGGCACTTATTTTAAAGGACAGCTGTTCCCAGCGCCTGCCCCTCGTGAGCTGATAACCGTAGAAGGAGAGAGACGGAGCAGTGTGGGGAAAAATCTCTCCATGCCTGAAAAACCAGTGTGGAGAAACAAGCCCTATAAATAGCCCATCTTCTGAGTGACTACGTCTCCCTCAGGGAGTGGACAGCACGGCGGACTCTAGGTTAGGGCTCCCCGGGATGGAAGCAGGGCATTTCAGAAACTGGCCATTGAGCAATCCTCCTTCGGGACGAGGGGATTAGAAGTCTTTGTGCTGGGGAGTAAACTTCACGGTGTTCTTTGGCTGAGAGGCAGCCCAGAACGAGGCTTCAGTAGAGCTTCCAGAGGGGTCTGGAGCAGGAGCTGCCGACGGAGAGGCCGGCAGGGGCAGGCGGGTCATGACAGTGAGTGAGGCTGACGTCTGGCTGGGAGCCAGGTGGACCAGCCAGTCTGTGCCCACCCGCGGGGGCAGCTGCTGTCCAGAGCCTGGCTGCCATTGCTGAGCACAGGAATGAGCTCTCCTGAATTGTTAAAGGAGAAGTCGGGCACCCACATCCCCTGAATTGCAATTATTGGCATCTGATTATAAAACGTCTTTCTCAATTGCTGTGTGGGTCCTGTTTGTGGGCCGGGTTTAGCCTGGGGCTGCCTAGGAGCCCCCCTGGAGGTTGTACTTGGCAGGAGGCTGCCAGCTGGGGGCTTTCTGTTGAGGGCAGTGAAGTTTGAGGCCCAGCTCAGAGGCCTCACAGAATGCCCCTTGGAGGTGGGGTCCTGGCTTGACACCGGCCAGAGCATCGCAGAAACATTTTACGTTGTAAGGGGAACGGCTGCGGGCATTGGCGAATTGGGCTCCATGCCCGCAGGTGGGGGCATCATGGCATCACTTTCTGAGGCTGCCCCTTTTACTGGTCCCATTTGGCCGGGGTTCATAGAGGGCTGGTTGCTCCGGCTTTCAGACCCAATCTACATGGAAAAGACCGAGGCAGAGAAAAGAAAGAAACCCAGGAAGAGGCATGTGGGGCGTGGGGTGGTCCCTACGCGCAAGGCTTGGAAGAGGCTGTTCAGGACCCCGAATATCAGGGAAGAGAAGGCTGAAGTCAGGGAAAGGAGAACCCAGACCTGTGTTTGGGGAAGGCTTTGAGTTTGCCCAGCTGTGGGCTGCAGTCCTTGTTTCCCATAAGGGCTGGGGGTGACATATAGCGACATCAGCGCTGTCATTAACCATAGCAACAGCAGTGATTGTGATAACAGGAAAGACTTCCATCATGTTTACTCCGGGCCAGGCCTCGTCCCAAGTACTTTACCTACGTGTTAACTGATCTGATCTTTGTGATAACTCTGTGAAGTATGTACAATTAGCATTCCCATTTTACAGATGAGAAAACTGAGACACAGAGGTTAGGTCATCTGCCCGAGGTCACCTAGCCGGTACGTGGAGGAGGCAGGATATGAGCCCGGGATGTGAGCTCCTGGCTCCTGCCCTGAATGCCTGCGCTGTACCCTGCTCAGTGTCCTCTTTCTCTGTCCCACAGACGGTGGCTGAGTGCGTCCTCTATTACTACCTGACCAAGAAGAATGAGAACTATAAGAGTCTGGTGAGACGGAGCTATCGGCGCCGCGGCAAGAGCCAGGTAAGAGGCAAGGTGGGGGTGGCTGTCCTTGGGGTCTGGCTCCCTGCATGCTGAGCAGCCACTTGCTTGGTGGCCAGCACCCCGCATGGCTGGCAGTAACCGTCTCCATGAGTTGTCGCTTGGCCACTGGCAGTGTGAGTGTAGGCTCCCCTCTGTGGTGGCAGCAAGTGAGGGGAGACCCTCTCTGGGGTGCTCACCCTGCTGGGCTATCTTGAGCCTCCCCTAGTGGCCAGGAAAAGAGCTGGGGGGAAACAACCACGGGCCTCCTCAGTCGGCAAAATCCTAGACTCCTGATTGGGTGACCTGTGATCTCTGTGCGTACAAAGGCCACATTCCAAAAGTAAGGGCTTCCCAGGATGACTCGGGGTAGTTCCCAAACTTCACGTGTTTAAAATGTTAATGGTTGTGTGTGTTTATCTTAATGCATACTTGAAAGAAAAAATAGCCAGTACTTCAGCTCGCCGTTTTTTCAGACGCCGTTGCTTGGAATGAGACTGAAAGATTATTTATGCTAGAGCAGGGGCTGGCAGACTGGGACTCTGGGGCTAGTCCGGCCCACTGTCTGTTCTTGTGCATAAAGTTTTGTTGGAACACAGACATGCCTGTTTGTTTACATATGACTATGGCAGCATCCTTGCTGCTCTGGTGGAGTTGCATAGTTGTGACCAAAAGTGTATGGCCTACAGGGTCTCAAATGTTTACTATCTGGTCCTTCATAGGAAAAGTTTGCTTTTTCCTCCGAGCTAGAGGAAAAGGAGTTGGTTTGAAAAAATATCCAGTAAATAATGGTAGAGATGAGAGGCTCAGTGGCACACCTTTTGAAAGGGGGATCCTGGGTGCTCAGTGTTTGGGAGAATTTGTTTTGCGTCGGGGCTCTTGAAGCATCGTCTCAGAGCAGATGCTGGGAGCACCACACGGAGGAGGCGGTTGGAGGCAGTGGGCACTTTGGTGGCTGCTGGATTGGAGTCAGTAGAGGCATTTCCTTCCTGGGGGCCTCAGTGGCTGGGGGAGCCGGGCGAGAGTGACAGAGGCCAAGAATAGCACGAGCTGGGATAAGGGGACCCTGAGGTTTTCCTAGGCGGGTACTAGCATCCTCTAGCCCCTCCCCAGAGCTGCCCGCCTTCCCTTTCCCAGGCTGCCAGAGGTCGAGACCCATAAGCCATTGAGACCAGCCATCACGGGCTGGGGGCGGGGTCCCAGTGTCTGCTGTGAGACAGCCGCTTTCCTACAGCCTAAGAAAAGTCCCATGAGGGAAAGGAGGCTGTTGTCAGGAGCATGAGCCACACCTCGCCGCATTCCGAACGTCCGGCCACGATGCCTGGGGCTGAGCTTGGTCCTTATCCGCAGGGATCGTGGAAGGGTGGCTGCCTTTGGCTTGTGGCGAGGGTTTTCTTGTCTAGTTTTCTGTAGCCAGAGTTGACCAGTCTGCTTGCCCTTCTAACAGATGTGTAAAACCAAGGCCAAGTGGCACAGAGCATGTATTCCAAAGATGTAGCTACGTTTTATTTTTGTTTTTTTGTGTTTTTGTTTTTGTTTTTTTTTTTTTTTGAGACGGAGTCTCACACTGTCACCCAGACCAGAGTACAGTGGCGTGATCCCAGCTCACTGCAACCTCCGCCTCCTGGGTTCAAGCGATTCTCATGCCTTAGCCTCCCAAGTAGGTGGAATTACAGGTGCATGCCACTGCATCCTGCTAATTTTTTGTGTTTATAATAGAGACGGGGTTTCACTGTGTTGCCCAGGCTGGTCTTGAACTCCTGACCTCAGATGATCCACCTGCCTCGGCCTCCCAAAATGCTGAGATTATAGGCATGAGCCACTGCGCCGAGCTGCTATGGTGTTTTTGAAATTGAAGTGCATTCAGGAATTTTCTGGACTGAGAGGCAAAAAAGTAAGTGCCAGGCCGAGAGCATATAGGTGCTGAGGTATGAGAGGCAGCAGGGAGCGGTGGGGATTGTGGCAAAGGAAGAGTGGCTAACAGCCTCAAGAGGTGTTTGGAAAATATCATCAGGCGTCTGTTGAGCACCTACTGTATGCTCATTCTCTTGCTGGCCTTCCCAGTTCCCCTCCCACAACCTGTGTGGGGGCATTGAGGCTGGGCTTGTGGTGGGAGCCCTTCCTGGTAGCTGGGCTGGGGGCTCTGAAGAGCAGAGGCCCATCCCCTCTGCTTGTGTGAGATCCACATTTGCACAGAGGGAGGTGGGGAGACCATGGTAATCTAAGAAGGGTGGGGGGTGTCGTTCCCCATCATATCCTGTTGTAGAGGCCTGGCCTGTACTCTGGTAGAGTGAGAGTCCAGTGGAATGAGTGTCCGGCTTGCTGTCCATGGAGTGACTGAGTGTCTGGCTTGCTCTCAGCAGAGTGAGTGTCCGGCTTGCTCTCCGTGGAATGAATGTCCAGCTTGGTCTCAGGAGTGAGTGTCCAGCTTGCTGTCTGTGGAGTGAGTGTCCGGCTTGCTCTCCCTGGAGCGAGTGTCCGGCTTGTTCTCCGTGCCACGGGTCTCTCTGTGCCGCGGGGTCTCCCTGTGCCACGGACCTACCTGTGCCACGGGTCTCCCTGTGTCGCGGGGTCTCCCTGTGCCGCGGGGTCTCCCTGTGCCATGGATCTGTGCCGCGGGGTCTCCCTATGCCATGGGGCTCCCAGGGAGGCGGCATTGGGGGCATATCCTCGAAGACTCCATAGAATAAAGGGCCCCAAAGATGAGGTTGCGGAGCAGCCCCACAGGCGGACAGGGACGGGGCCCTCGAGTACAAAGGCAGGGAGCATGAGAAACAGTGCGTGTCTTCAGGAACAGCCAGGAGCCTGAGTCTTTGGATTCAAGGGGGTCCCGGTACCTCCCAGGACCTTAAACGAACAAAGAAATGGAGAAAATTATGTGACCCTCTTTCTTTTGCTCACTTTTGATGGGTAAGTAGAGATTTTTTTACCCTGTGAAAAATAGAAGTGCAAACTCAATAAATAACAGCTCACACTTGACTTCAGTGTCTGGGGTGGGAGTAGGGAGTGGTGAGGCCTGCGGCTCATTACAGAGCTTGGGCCCCCTCTCAGCTCCAGCTGACGCTTGGCCAGTGGCCCTGAATTGCCAGGTGTTCTGATCTTTGATGATGAGCTGGAAATCTAGTTTTATGTGAAACCACCTGATTTTAAATCTTAGGTCACATTTTTAAAAAAGGAAAAAAACAACTCAACACTGTATATGCCACGCAACTGTTACTTGCTGTTGAAATCACCTCCAGCCCCTAGTAGAAGACCTCTGGGTTAGACTACAGTGAGCCCGGGGAAGGAGGGCATTATATGCCTTGGGCCAGGCTGGCACCAGGGAAGCCCTAGAATGTTCCGTAGCAGGGAGGAAACATGCCCCTCTTTACACTGGAGATATCCTGGCTTAGCCGTGGTATCTGCGGTGCCTGGGAGTTGGTGGGGCTTTGCTGGTGAGTTTTTACCCCCTGCTGAAGCTGCTGTTCCAGGCAGGGGCTCCCAGGATGGGAAAATGTTGCTTGTCTGCTCTGCCTCTCAGAAGGATGGCAGAAAGCAAGCTGGGCAGGAGGTTCCTGTCTGTCTCCAGGACTCGCCCCTTCCTCGGATCAGCTGCGTTTGCTAAGGAGGTGGTGGCATGGCCTGGGCCCTGCCAGGGAGGGAGAGTTACACTCATATCCCGGAACAGCTTCTGTGCCAGGTAGATCCACTGCCCTGCCACCCCCCACAGGCCCGGTTCACCACCACAGGATAAACAAGGGTTCCCAAGTGCTAACTCTGAGTTTGCACTCCTCTCTGCCCATGGCAGCAAGCAAAATCAACGGCAGCCTCAGGCTCAGCCTGTCCTGTTAAGTGGAGATGCAGTGGCTGCCGCCAGCTGAGCGTCTCTGTGTGGTTGGGTCTGTGGAGCCGCTGACACTGCTGATCAGTCTGCTCCAGATGAGGGCGCGGCAGGGTGATGGACGGGAAGGGGCAGGCGGTGGTGGGCTCTGAGTGCACCAAAGCTGTGATCACACAGAACCTGCAGCTCCTTAAGGAGGGCGGGGAGGTGAGCCGAGACCACTCCCCACCCACTACCCCACTGCCTCCGCGTGGCTGGCACCTGCAGGCTGGGACAGGTGTCCGGGACTCTCAGTGACTGACTGTGGGCTGGGGAGCCACTGCCCTGTGCTTTAGATACCACTGGCACCCAGGACACCTCTGTGGGCCGGTCCTTCTTTCTGACATACCCTGGCAGCTCAGGCCTTGTGATCAGATGGGAATCCCAGGCTATGGAGCACACGAGCTCCTGCCCAGCCCCAGTCCCCTCACAACTGCCCTAGGATACTTGTCCATGCTTCTCTCTCCCTCATAGGTTTCTGGGTGAGCAGACACAGCCCCTTCCCCCTCCTGTGACACAGGCCCACTCCCCAGGCACCACGGGAAGATGGAGAACCCAGGTCTTCCCAGCCAGTGAGCCCACGTACCCTCAAGGGTAGGGTGCCCGCTGCCAGGGGATGCTGCCTGCCTCTTCCCCGATGTCTTCTGTCGGGGGAAGCTTGAGCTCCCTTCTCTGTGGTGTTTCTCTGGAGGGCAGCAGGTCGGGTTCTCCCTGCCTTCCTGGGCCCTCTAGTTTTAGAAGAAGACTTAGTTTATCTCAGCCAGTATGCATTGGACCCCTTGGTGGCTGAGTCGGGGGTGGGACCTGGGAGTCCAGTGAGACATGGGAGCCCTGTCAAAATTCCAAGGGCACCGGCCCTGCTGTGTGATGGGGACAGGTGCTGCTGGCCGCCGTGGTGGCGATGGTGATGATGGTGATGGCGATGGCGACAGTGATGGTGCCGGCCAACAGTCACGCAGTGCTATCGCCACACACCGTGATGATGTCAAGCTCACTAGTGTTGGCGAGAGGTGTGTAATTATCCCCACTGGCCAGATGAGGAGACAGAGGCACAGGGAGGTGAGGAAGCTTCCGAGTCGCCTGCTGAGTGGCAGACTGAGGGTTCTAGTCTGTCACATGCAGCCCAGGGAGCTGGAGGGAGGCC